TGCAAAAGTGTCCAACCGGCCTCTCCCCTCCCAACCTCCCTGCCCACCTGGACTGCAGGCGCTTGTGCCGTGCCGGGAAGGTGCGTCTCTCGCCAGCCCCATCCCGCCCCACGTCATGTGAATGCCGGGCTGGCCAGCGTAAAAGACAGGGCCTCCACTCTCGAGCCGGGGGGGTGAGTGGGTGCCGAAGGAGGGGGGCAGGAGACAGCAGAAGGCGTTGAAAGGCACCTAGGGCACCGCAGACCAGCCTGAGAGGTGGGGAAGGCGGGCGAGGGAGCCATCAGCCAACTTGCACTGGAGCCAAGGACGAGTTCAGCGCTGCCACGTTTGGCCGAGCATGGCCCTGGTGCGAGTGAGGTGGATCTAGCGGCTGTGGTGAGAGGGCGCCATGAACGGCTACGGCTCCCCGTACCTGTACATGGGCGGCCCAGTGACTCAGCCGGCCCAGGCGCCCTTGCAGTGGACGCCCAATTGCACATGTTGCTGCAACCATGGCGTGCTATCATGGCTGAAGAGCCACAAGAGTGGCAGCGTGTCATGGCCGCCCAGGTGGGGCTGCACCGCCAGCAGGCCAACAAGAGCCTGGAGAGCCTTTTGCCCGACACGCTGTGTGTCCTGCCTGCTGCCACCTCTGCCCCACACCCTCCTCTGCTACACTGTCTAGGCACCCCGGAGCAGCACTCGCCACCACCGCCCAGGGACGGCCTGTCGTGGCACTAGCCTCCCCAGCGGCACCGTGGCTACATCCCATGGGCAGAGGGCGAGCCTGGGCAGCGTGGAGTCCCAGCTGAGGCGGTGGCCAGCGACGGCATCGTTTCCCGGGCCGTCCCCAAGCCACTGAGCTGGCCATCTTCTGCGCTGCCGGCATCTTCGGGTCGGAACCGCTGCAACGGCCTGCCGACTGGTCAGCTCTGTCCACCAGTGACGCTGGAGCCTCCCATGCTAGCGGAGGCTTTGGTGGGCCGCTCCCTGGAGGGATCCCAGGGCTTCCCTGCGCGACTCCCCAGCCATGTGTGCTTGGACTGAGCCAGCCTGGGAAAGGAAGCGCAAGTGCCTCTCTGTCTCTCTGCAAATGGCAGAACAGGCTCCGGAGCCGCAGGAGGCAGCTCAAAGAGCCGCATGTGGCTCCGGAGCCATGGGTTGCCGACCCGTGGGATAAACAGCTAGATAGACAATACTGATGCAGGGTTCCCAACCTAGATTCAACAGGCATACTGAACTGCAAACATTATCATGCTCAATCAATAGGACCATTGTCTATTGTTTTTTTAATGACATATGGCAACTTGGTATCTCAAGTCATTCAATACAATTTTCTCCGTAAGTATGTAATTTATCTCCAAATTACTTTTTTGCTAAAGCTTTGATCAGTCCCAAACTTGTTTGATTTTAGTCATGGAACTGCATTGTTCCTTGTGCTTTAATAATATTTTTAACTATTTAGTTCAGAATAATAATTATCCGTTAGGGTTATATGTGCTAATTTTTCACTTTATTGAATATCCGTAACTATGTATCACACATTTTCTTAGGGAAAATTATTTATTTCCTGTAGTTTAATATTACAGATTTTTTTAAGAATCATTGTGTATTTGTCAAAGTTCAATGTACTTGCCAATTCTTATTGTGCATCCTCACAATCAGCCAGGCTATGGGAAATCTTTATTATTCGGAGTTTTTTTGGAGACAGGAACTAAACTGCATAATTGGCAGAGAATATCATCTCCTTAGCCCAACAGTCCATGTCTAGCAGTTGCCAACCAACCATTGCCAGAAAGAGTGGGATGGTGGTTCTTGTTTGTACACAGTAGTTCGTTGGAGAGTTACTTCTTGGCTTCCTTAATATAATCAATTGTGCTTATGACAACTGCCCTCCATCGTCAGCTGTGTTTTTGAGATCTTGAATGGCATTCTGCTCTACTAATATTGTTGTATCAGGAGAATACACAACTGTGGCTTGGGCTTATTAGCAATAGCTTTCAGTGTAGAAATCAAATATCAATATCCATCTGGGCATGTCTGCAGTATTTTTAAAAATATATTTGGGTTTGGTATGAACTGTGGTTGCTTACTGTTCCAGGATATGATGTGTTAGAAATAGAATGTTTGTTCCAGACAATATCTTGAAAGTATAGGTCTCGGATTATGACCCTAATTGGGATCAGAATTTTCATCAAGTGAAGAGGGCCTCATGGAAAACACTTGACTGTGATGCTTAGCGAAGCAGTTTCCGCAGTCCCAGTTGTGATCATGGGATCCTGTAACTGGTCATAAATGTGATTTGTCATAAAGTACCTAAATTTTGATCATATCACCAAGAGGGTGTTGCAATGGTCAGAACTGCAAGGAGTGGTTGTAAATAGCGTTCATTCAGTAATGTCATAACCTTGAAAGATCACTAAATGGACTAATAGTATTCTTCAAGTGAAAACAAAGTGTTTCATCTAAGTTGTAGATTATGTGTCGGTTTAGTGGGTCAAAGGATACACCTCATGAAAGGTTGGACAATTCTCCTTGGCTGAATGGCTGGATAAGTTCACAGTATTTTGTAGAATATATGAGCTCTCCCACTATGGTAAGCAGACAGTTGCAGCAGCTTAGATAGTAAAACATGAAGCATAGTCATAGTTAGTTGGTGAATATAAACCATATACCCATTTAATATAGCCATTGCCAAAGCTCACTGTTACTGTCAGATTTCCAGGCATGATGGCATATCTGAGTCTTCAGGTCCTATCAGAAGGGTAGGTGTCAATCTAAGTTCCGGGGGAATAAGGGCAAACATCATAGCAGAAAACACTCTCTTCTCTTGACAGATTACATTTCTTAATAGATGGGACCTGTAACATGCCTCTTCTGCTGGATCTGATAGGATGGGTAAATGTAACTGGGAAGAAGAGGTCCCTCAACAAATATGTTGACGGTAGAGGATTCTTTATCTTTAGTCTTTTAAGAATGATGCCATGTTGCTTGCTTCTGGTTAGGAAGATAATGTTAGATTGTACCTATGCCAGTTTCTTGGTAAGAATTAAGGATTTTTATATATTAAAAAAATAAAAATGGAAGAGGAAGAGAACTTTAGAATAACAGAATTTGGTGGCACTGAGAGGTTACCTCCTATACACACACACACATGTTGGAAGGATATGCTTGAAATTATTAGGGTTAAGAGTACTCTGTACATTGAACACTCAATATATCAAACATATAGGATGTGCAAAACCAAAATAATTTAATAAAAAATGTAATACATATGACCAACATGCTGAAGATGATTTTGAGATGGGGAATAAAATTAAATAGCTATCCAAAGAAAGAACTATAGTAATTTGTGATATTAATTTATTCCAGTTGTAACAAATGTAAATATGTTCTAATTATAACAGAGATTGCATTTTTACAAATTCTAAATTGTTTATCTTAAGACTAATAGGTCATAGAACAATAAGATAACCTTTCATATAAATCTAATGGTACATCTATGTAGTTTCTGTAGTCCTTGAAAACCTATTACAAATTTGTTAGCCTTTATAATAATCTTTATGGTTTTTCATGCAATGGAGTAACATAGTTATCTTGCAGAGGTGGGGGGATAAAATAAGTTATAATTAAATGCATTAAAACAAATATCATGAAAATAGATGTAAAGGCAGTAAGAATTAACCAAATGCTGTAGTCATAAAAGCAATTTGGAAAGGTTAAAAATGGTCAGGAAAATAAAAAGGGCATTTGCCAAAGACACATTAATATAAGCATCTAAGCAAATTTCTAATCCAAGATCATAAAAACCGAGTAGGCTCTCTAGCACAGAAGATTAAGAGGGATCTATAAATATGTTAACTTTAATAAGTGTGCAGCTTTAAAAAGGGAGGCATTTTTAAATTGCCTGGACAAATTCAACTCATTGATGCATCCCACAATATACTTCCAATGCTGATATTTTAAAACAGAAGAAATAGCTTCTAAGAAAAGGGACTGGATCCACAAAATATAACATATTGGTACCTCCACCTGAGAAAGCTTATACTCACCTACTCCAGAATACTGTAGTATCCAAACAGACGGGAAGAAAGTCATCCGGCAAGAAATATCAAGAATCCCCCCCCCCCAATTGAGACTATTTTCTAAAAATTATTTCATACCTACCCTTTTATTCTATGTTCTTTGAAATATTTTCAGCCTCCCTGAAAACCGAAGAGTCCCAGATGAGCCAAACCAAATCCTGTTTCAGAACTAAACCACTGTTTCTTTTCTGCTCCACCACCTTCCCCACTCAGGAACTGATTAATCATTTCTTTGGAGCTGAGATAATCATTTATAATAACTACATTACTATCATCCCATGCTCCTTCACTTCACTCTCGAAAAAACGAAATTCTTATATTTCTCTGTCAGGAACACTGTTTTGGAACTCTTTGTACCTTTGACCCAGTTCTAAGACGGAACCCCATTTGCTCTCTCCCTTTCCTGAACCTCGAGTTCAGTTCTGGACAAATTAGAGACTTTTCTGCCCTGAACCACTCTCTCAAGCCTTCCCCGTACTTCTTTGGCCTCCCGCTTCTCAGCTTTTTATACAGCCCCCTTTTTCTGCGGCCTCCTCCTGCCACCCTACCCCGCCGTCTCTCCTCCCACTAGTTTTCTCAGCTTCCTCCCTCCCTCCCTCTCCGCTCCTTTTTTTTTCTCCACCTCCTCAATACCAGCCGCCCCTCGGCCTGAACATGCAAGCCTCGCCACCATTGGCCAAACAGCCTCATCCTTTCCATGCGGGATGCGCTGATTGGATGAGCCAAGGCTTGTCGCCTTGCCCGTTGTGAGAGTGTAGAGAGGGACGGAGAGAGGGAGGGCCTTTTTTTCCTCCTCCCCCCCCCTCTCTCCCTCTGTCTCTCTCGCTCTCTGGCGGTGTCCATGGCTCCTCCTGCCACGGAGAGGCGACGGACTTAAGCCGAAGCCGGGCCGGCTGTGGGTGACTCCCTTGAGAGAGACCTTCTTGGGGGGGCTGGGGAGGGGTGGGAGGGAAAAGCGCGAGCTCCCGAGCAGGGGGAAGGGGGTCACCAGCGGCACGAGCATCCCCCTCGTTAACCGCCGCCGGCGGAGGAGAGACCCGGGCGGCAACGGAGGCATAGGAGGAGGCGCCTTCCTTTTCTCTGAGCGAGCTCCTCTGGGCCGGTCTCCTCAGCCAGGAAACCTTCCTTCCCCCTCTCCTCCTCCTCCTCCTCCCCCACCTCCCCTCCCCAAGTCTCGTTGCCGGAGGAGCGACCCCCTCTCCTCCCCCCGCCCGAACCGGCAAATGAACTCGGTCCGAGCCGCCAACAGGAGACCCAGGCGAGTGTCCAGGCCGCGCCCGGTGCAGCAGCCGCCGCCGCCACCGCCTCCTCCTGTTCAGCCGCCTCAGCAGCAGCAGCCACTGCAACTGCCGCCGCCACCTCCACCGCCACCGCCACCGCCGCCGGAGAGGAACAACAACAACGCCGTAGCTGCCGCCGCCGCCGCAGCCGCTATCGCAGCTGGGGAACGGGGTAAGAGAAAGGGAGGGAGGGAGGGGCGGCAAGGGCAAGGGCGGCAAAGGGGCGCGGGCAGAGGAAAGACGGCGAAGCGGGTGGGGTTCCTTTTCCCACCCCACCCCTCTGCAAGCGGAGGATACGCTCTCCCCGTTCCGAGGACCTGTTAGGGACATATAGGCCGCGCTTTGTTTGGCTCGGGCCCTCGTTGAGGTTTGGGTTGCCAATAAACCACGGGTTCCTCTCAGGTACTTTTGGGTTGGGTTGGGGGGTTCGAATGGAGAGCACAGAGCCTCCTCTCGGTTGCCCAAGGAGAAAGAAAAGGGGAGAGTAAGAGGACGAAGAGGCCCGGGTCCTTTCCACCTTCTCCTCGGTGGTTTATTTTAGCTGTGGGAGGAAAAAGCTTCCCCTTGTGTCCGGGACACGGTGTGTATCCCAGTAACTTGTGTTGACACCTTTCCTTTTATTCTCTTAATCATCTCCTCCTCCGCTCTCCCCTCCCTCTCCCCCCTCGTTTTTCTCTCTTTTTGTAATGGTGTCTCATGGAGACAAGAACTGCTCTCTCTCACCCCCTCCCCTTCCTCTTCCCCTCTCTCTCTCCTCCCTCGCCCTGCCCCAGTGTTTTTGCTGCGCAGTTTGCATGGCTTTAGTTACCCGGACCCTGAAGGAAAAAATGATCCGCGATAGGGAAGTGTTCGGAGGGTGGCATGAAAGAAAGGAATTGCAGACCCTCATCCCTACATAGGCGGCGTTTTTGTCGGGGTAGATCATCGGCCATTTATTTATCTGCTTCTCTTTCCCCTTCTCGCCCCCTTCAGTCTGTCGCACCACTCTCACACACTGGCCTAAATAAAAATCCACAAATATTTGTTCCTGGTGTCAGCCTGCTGCGGGTGGCGGTAGAGAAACCTTCGTCGTTTTTCGCGCGTGTGAAGGTTTCAGTTCCCTGCTTGTAGGTCGGGGCCTAGCATAAAAATATTAGATTGAGACCAATTAGACAAGCACCATTGTTTGAAAGAATTGGAAATGTAATCATGAAAGGGATTCCTGTTTTCTTTCTTTCTCTAATAGAAGATTTATATGATCACTGGAAAAATTAAATAAAACCCAGATCTGGGTGTCTGGGGGCGGGGAAAAGTGTTGGAAAAGGAGGAGGAGGGCGATCATTTTCTCTCTAGGCTGCGTAACTGTTGCCATATTAATTGGCTAGGTTTCTCTCCCAGTGTTGGTGTGCTGTCGTCGCAGGGTTATTTTCTAAAGGAGAAGAACGGGTGGGATCGTAGGAGACATTTTGCATGTATTATCCATTGGGCTGGATTTTAATTTTTTATGCACAGTGTGTCGCACCTTTCTCATGATAAAAGGAGAATGACCTATGATATTGGTCGGTTAATAAAACACCTTTAGCTGTTGTTAGAGGAATGTCTTTTGTTTGCGTATGTAAGAATAATTTACTAAGGACAAAATGATAGATTTCGGAAGTACATGGTGATACAGTATTTTTTTTTTAAAAAGATGTAATTGTGGGATTGTTAACTCTGAATTTGTTCATAAAGAATCCTAAAATGCTTTTAATTCAGCTCTATTCCCCACATTCATCCAATCAAGAATGTTGCAGAAACCAGATTATTTTTAAAAAATGTGGGTTTTTTTGGCTAACTATAGGGTTTGTGTAAAACTTAAAAATAATTCTGATATCAATTACATAATTAGTAATATTCTAATATACCATTTGAAACAAAATCACTTCCTCCTTCTGAATATCATGTTATAGACTTTTTTCTTTCGGATTTATATAAAAAGTTTCTAAATAGTTTAGCAAATTTTGTAAATAATGAAAATTATAACTAAAGTAACATTGCATTTCATTTACTTACTGCTTGACTGAGAATTGTAACATAAATTAACTAGATATTAGATCTCAGAAGTAGCAGTCAAGCAGTATAGTTTAGCGCCTGGAAATTATGTTTCCTGTAACACATTAAAATTGGATAATATCCTTGTGTTTATATCAAACATAAATATTCATGCTGCAACTAAGACAAAAAGGAGTATATCTAGTTAATCATAGCAGGTCAGATAAAGAATATTTTATGAAGCTAGATCACTAATTAACACATAGAAGACTTTTATTTCATTGATTGAAGAAGTGTTAGAGTAGCAAATTTATAAAAATGTAACTTTAAAGTGCTTCTTAATAAGATTTTAATCTATTATTAAAAGTCTTTAGCTAATAGCATGTTTTCCTTTAGTTTTGGTTTTCTGGTATTTTAAATTTCTATTTAAATCTTTAAGGCATTTGGCCTAAGTATGTATATATTATGTATGTATGTATGTATGTATGTATATGTATGTATGTATGTATGTATGTATTTACTGCCCAACTTATGGTTCAGACATGAATAAGATATTTAATAAGACTTGAGTTGTAAGAATGTTACAAAATCAATTTGTTCCCTAAATCTATTTAATAGAAAACCTACCAAGGGAATGGTTGACAGGAATTTTAAGAGAAACCACCCAAGTGAAAGAGTAAATGTAAGATACAGTTATTAACATATAATAAGATAAAAGGGTAAATTACATTCCCTGTAAAAATTAACAAATTTTAGATCTACATCATACTCCAGAATCAATACTTTATTCATTAAAGTTTAAAAAACTTGAATTTAGCTTGGTTTGAATGTTCAAAGGATAATGATAATTTCATTATATAAATGATTTAGTTGACAGGTTTGGAATGAAGTATTTATTTTCTTGCTCAATGCATTGTCAAAATAGTGATGATTTGGATTCAAGAGGAACATATTCAATCTTGGTAACTTGCAGATATTTTTAAAAAAATGCAGTTATGTGCAAATCTTGAGCATTGTCCAAAGCATAAGTGAATTATACAGTACTGAATTGATGATTCTGATCTTTCCTTATTTATTCCAAATTAACAGCTATCTTCAAAATATCCTTGAATCAGTTATTTTGAAATAAGGAAAAATGATAATAAAGAAGTATTTTTTTTTACTAAAGATAAATGTAAAAAGGTTGTTAACATGGTATTTTGAAGAGTTTTATTTTACAGATTTAGAGTGCTAAATAAGCAATAGTTATTTAATTTCACAAAAAGATGCCCACACAACCCAATTTCTCTATAATATAGTTACTTTGTTAGCTTCTAGACAATATTTACATATCACTAGTTCCTCCCAATGTATTGATTTATTTATCTTTTAATATAAATTACGTGTAGCCAATCAAAAGCAGTATTGCTAAAGGAGTGTTGGTTGATGACTTCCATGTTTCAATGCATGTTCCAGCATGCATTCTGATACTAATATGAATAGTTTTTATTTTAGTAAATAATATATAGCTGACATCTGTATCTGCATATGGCGCTCTTTAGCTTAGTTGTGGTGATAGAATAAAATCTGGATTTTTTTTAAATTTGGCCTTTTTAAGTTTGATCTTAAAGTAATTATTATTTAAATTCTGCAGTTAATTTTTTAAAATTGATTTCAATTTAATAATTCTATCAGCCATGAAAATGTGTGTGTGTGTGTGTGTGTGTGTGTGTGTGTAAATATAAATAAATAAATAAAAATAGTTGGTTCTTCATAAATAAATAGAATATAAATTCGTATGAATTGTGTAACTCAACATAGTCTTTGTTTTAATATTAATTTTTTTAGCCTAGTGCATTTTGTCCACTTTTGCTTGTATGAAGCACTATGATTCATGTGAGTTGGTCTGTAGATAGCTATAGAACAATATAATAGAATTTGCTACAGATAAATCAGTATTTCATACATACCTGATAAATCAAAAGTAAATTCAAATTTAATTTATGCAAAAGGTTTCATACTTAATATGTGATGTATTTTCAGTATTAAAAATATAACTGCAGATACTTACATAAGAATATATGCTGACGGGAGGGTGGAGCTCCAACACCTCAAATGGTGACAGATGTAGCCTTTGATTTTATATTAAGATTTATTGGCAGTGGTACATAAGAGGAAGTTCTCTTTCACAGTATACCAGATATGATGCTCATTTCACAATGCTAAAATAAAAGTGAAATAATTAGAAGACAACTTCATGAAGCCAGATATGTACAGACTGAAAAGTATTTATCTGCACTGAATAAACTTTTAAGATTTCTAATTCAAACAAAATGCATATATGTGTTTTTTTATATTACCTAATTGCTATAATCACCTATTTGAGAGGGGAAATTGCATATATGAATTCAATACAGTGACAATGTATTTTTCATTAGGTTTGATGTTATTTGTATATATTTGCCAGAATCTGCACTTAAAAATAAATTTTGCATCTATTCCAATGGTTCTCAACCTGTGGGTCGGGACCCCATTTGGGGTTGAACGACCATTTCACTGGGGTCGCCAAACAACACAGTCCGCCATTTTTTCCCCCTTTTCCTTAGCTGTGCTACTCCCTTTTATTCTATTGGCTTTTGAAAGCCAATAGAATAGACTCTCTTGAATAGAGTCTAATTCTATTAGCTTTCAAAAGCCAATAGGAATTGTCCAGGCTGTCTCTGCCCTGCTGAGCCCGCCAAAAGTCCCATTCTGCAAACGGTGCTGCACCAGTTGAGTAGTCCTCGACTTACAACCGGTTGGGGGTCGCGGCATTAAAAAGGTTGAGAACCACTGATCTATTCTTTCATGGAAAACAGATTTCCTGAATACATATTCCATTTAAAAAGTTAGAATTAAGCAGTATTTTTAACAGCAAGTTCTCTCTCTCTCTCTCTCTCTCTCCCTCCCTCCCTCCCTCCCTCCCTCCCTCTCTCTCTCTCTCTCTCTCACACACACACACACATACACAGAGAGGGGGGGAGAGATTGAGATTAAAATGGAAGTAAAAACTGAAATAAAACTCTGGTTGTACATATTTTGTTCTACATGAATCTAAAAAATAGGCTGTTTTAACATAGTAATTTGTAAAACTCAGACACATTTCTGTTTTTAGATGATTTGTGAAAGTTGCTGGCAAAAAGG